ATGTGGTGCTGGGGGATTGAACCGTGGTCCCTGTGCTTTGCTAAGCTTGTTCTAAGTAGGTGCTTTAGACCACTGAGCCATCTCACCAGCCCATGCTTAGGGAAGTTTAGACAACTAAGGGACAGAGCGGGTTGAGCCGGCCAGAGCCTGGGGAATAGTGGTGCATGCCTGTAATCCCAGTGCTGGGGGAGGCTTAAAGTAGAAGGATCACCATGTCTGAGCTGCGTAGTGAGACCCTGCAACAACCAAATACATTTATTTATTTATTTAATTTTTAGTTTTTGGTGGAACTGAGGATCGAACTCAGATCCTTGTGTTTGCCAGTGAAGCACTTATCCTACTGAACCATCTCCCCGGCCCCAACCAAATACATTTAAAAGAAAAAGTCAGCTGAGAAACTTGCCTCCCTCCATATATGACGAAGGTGTTTTATTTTTGGTCTTTTGTTTTATTCCTCAAGAAAGTGTGTTTGGTTTCCAGGTGCCAAGTCTAGTGGGGGCAGGGAAGATGTGGAGTCGTCTGGACCCCAGAGAAGGAACTCCTCAGAAGGAAGTGCTGGAGACTTCTTTGATCTGAAGGTCAGGAGGAAAGACAGACAGGCTGAGGGTTTAGAAACTAAACTTCCCCTTATTTGCTGAGAATTTCATCTCTGATGCTGGAATCTCACATAATGGCCCTTAGGAAATAAAGGGACTGGGCCATCTTGGTGACAGAAGCTTTGTAAATAGAGACTAAAGTCAGATAAGTGAGTTGCTCTGTGTCCTGATCCACTCAAATGTCTCTTGCCATTGGGATTAAACTCAGCTCCTTTGGTAGTGATTTCGGGGACTTCTGTGTCACTCTTAACTTTCCCTTTATCTCATTAGAATATTGTTCTAAGTTTAAGCAGTTTGCGAATGTTTCTTAAGTTGAACTCAAGGAGACTGTACCGCTAGTGGTACTGGGGATTGAAGCCAGGCCATTCTGTTAAACCTCATGGCCCAGCTCATTTTTAATTTTTTAATTATGCGAAGGGTCTTGATAAGTTGGCTAGGTTAGGCTCTAGCTTCTCATTCTTCTGCTGTAGTTGCCAAAGTGCTGGGGTTCCAGACCTGTAGTGCCGTGCCCAGCTATTGGTGTTATTCTTAGAAATATCTGCAGAAGAGTACTGCTGGGAAGCCTCATGGAGTATGTTAGTAAAGACCTTGTATAGGAGGACTTCCTCCTGACTAGGGACCTCCCGGTGCAGAGGAGTGGCAGCTGCCTAGTGTGGGGATGGCTGTCAGAGATTTAGAGCTCACAGGGCCCTCCAGTAGCTAGGGAAGGAGAAAGAGGAAGCTGATGCTAGATTTCCAGTTTCCTGTTCTGATGAAAGAGCCTCAGAAATGCTGATTGGCTTTAGGTCATCAGACTAAAAGCCAAGCATGGGTGTGTGTATGTTTTAGGTATCACTGGGACTGGGGCATTTTTTTTTTTTTTTTTTTTTTCATCTTCTACATTTATTTTCCCTACTGAAAATTGAAAATTTCCAAGTTTTTAAACTGTACTTAGGAGCCGGGGAGATGGCTCAGTAGAATAAATGCTTCCCTGGTAAGCACAAGGGCCTGAGTTCAATCCCTGGTTCCACAAAAAAAAAAAAAAAAAAGAATAAACTGTACTTAGATAAAATATCTTAATAGATGTATGCATTAGAAAATCAGTCAGGGCTGGGGAGATGGCTCAGTGGAATAAGCGCTTCCCTGGCAAGCGCAAGGGCCTGAGTTCAATCCCCGGTTCTGCAAAAAAAAAAAAAAAAAGAAAATCAATAAGAGACATATATATTTTTAAGACATATGTTGATGAAAGCAGGAACATATTTTTTAATTAAATTTTATTGAGAAATAGCAATGAGACAGTTTCAAAACTGATCAGTAGGACAGTTTGATTAATACGTTGCATATTGTCTTCATAGCGGTTATTCATAGCACAAGATGCAGACATGATATCCTGTCCAAACACTATTAATACGAATCTTTCTTCTCATTGAATTAAGAGAAAGTAGCTATATATCTATCCTAACTGTTTTGTATATACAGATACAAAATGGTCCTTCGTCTCTCCTTTTTTTGTTTAATAGGGGCAATTTTTTTCTTTTTTTTTTTTTTTTGCGGAACCGGGGATTGAACTCAGGCCCTTGCACTTGCCAGGGAAGCGTTTATTCCACTGAGCCATCTCCCTGGTCCCAAGGGGCAATTTTTTAAATCAGATTTTATTGGTATCTTTTAGATGTACATACATAATGATCACATTCATCATAGATGGGACAATTCACTGGGCAGAATTTTTGTATAGCATTGTCCCAAGTTGAATACAGGTTGCCACCTCCTTTACTTGATTGTAGCAGAATGGGGTTTCACATTTGTTTCCATCTAGGTGTCAGCCAGTGAACTGTGACTGTTTTGTGTACTGGAAATTAAAATAGGGAGTAAAAGTACATAAATAAAAGAGAGGAAGTAATTTTTTACGTGTTTATTTTCTTTTCCAGGGAGAAGGTGACATGCATGGTGAGTATTACTGTAGACGAAATTGTTGGTTGTGTAAATGCTATAGAGCAGACCTGAATTTTTTTTAAATTTTTTTATTTATTTGTGTGTGTGTGTGTGTGTGTGTGTGTGGCCAGCTCAGCCCACCAGGGGGCGGGGCTGGCTGGCATGTGGTGCTGGGGGATTGAACTGCGGTCCCTGTGCTTTGCTAAGCTTGTTCTAAGTAGGTTCTTTAGACCACTGAGCCATCTCACCAGCCCAGACCTGAATTTTGATTCAAAGCATGTCCTGAGGAAAGAGCCCTGGCTGCGTCCCCAGTGCTAGCATACTATGGGCAGAGAGAAGAGAAAAAGAAATCTAGAGGGGTCGGGGAGATGGCTTAGTGGAATAAACTCTTCCCTGGCAAGCGTAAGGGCCTGAGTTCAATCCCCAGTTCTACCAAAAAAGAAAAGAAAACAAAACACTGGGGAATCTTTTGACAATAGACATACATCAATCAGGTCAATATTTGTTATATTTACTGAGAGCTGTTTAATAAGAGGCTCTGGCATTTCAGGCCCAGCTCACAGCATTCAATTTACTAAGTTCACGTGATTTCATACTGAGGTGCTTAGTGAGCAGTACATAAGTTTACCCACTGGTGATTTTTGTAAACGATGATTTTGGGGTCAGATAAATTTCTAGTTAGCCATGCACGTAACCAATTATAGGTGGAAGTAAGCTATAATAATTTACTTAATTGTTTTAAATCTTTGAAGTATTTATTGGCACTTTGAATAAGTACCAGAGAACCGCTGATGGGGGCCAGCCAGTCTTCTGGGCATCTGGCCATAGCGATCAGTCAGGTGCCCGGTTTCTGCAGCTATAAGGCGGCTGCTTCCTCAGAGCCGTTCCTGCCATTAGGCTTTATGATGGTAAATGGGTAAGAATGAAATTCGTCTGCCCTTCAAACTTTCTCTCTCTTGGGGCAAGGGGATAGCTCAGTAGAATAAACAGTTGCCTGGCAAGTGCGGGGTCCTACATTCAGTCCCTGGTACCACAAACCAAAAAACAAAATCTGTGTGTGTGTGGCCAGTTTGTGGCCTTCTTTTTTTTTTTTTTTTTTTTGAGACAGGGTCTCATTTTGTGGCCTTCTTTTTTTTGAGTCAGGGTCTCATTTTGTTAGTCCAGGCTGGCCTTGAACTCTTGGTGACTCTCCCGGGGCCTTGGAGTGCTGGGATTTCAGGCCTGTGCTACCATAGCTGGCTGTGTGTGCCATTTGGAAAGACTGTTGTGGATGTAACGTTTAGTTTTTTCTTTCTTTTTAGGCAGGGTCTCATTCTGTAGTGCAGGCTAGCCTTCAGGTTCCTTATGTAGCCCAGGCTGGCCTTGAACTCACTGAACTCATGTCTCAGCCTCCCAAATGCTGAGATTATAGGAGTGCGCCACCACATTTCTTGGCAAAATCTAGGCTTTTAGTCTACTGCTTTTCACCTTATGAATACTTCCACTACTAGACATATTTAGCAGGGTTAGCTTTTTTTTTTTGTATTTTAGGGAAGGGTCTACAGCGTGTTCAGGGTCTCACTAGTAGAGCCAACTTGTAGTGATCCACCTGTTTACAGCCTCCCAAGAGCTAGGGTTACAGGCTCAGGCCTTGAGGCCCTGGCACCCAGTCTCAATTACTGTCTCCGCCTGCCCAGGCCTGCCCAGGCCGAGGTCACAACTCCACCCCCTCTCCCCCCTTCCCCTGTGTAGTGTTTTATTTATTTATTTTTATTTATTTTTTTGGCTGACTCAGAATGCCTTCAGGGCATGTTTGGCTGGCTGGAGTTGTGGGGATTGAACCACAGCAATCTGAGCCTGACTGCTTTGAAGCAGCCACTTAAAGAACTGAGCTGGGCTGGTGAGATGGCTCAGTGGTCTAAAGCACCTACTTAGAACAAGCTTAGCAAAGCACAGGGACTGAGGTTCAATCCCCCAACACCAAAGCACAGGGACTGAGGTTCAATCCCCCAACACCACATGCCGGCCAGCCCTGCCCCCTGGGGGGCTGAGCCGGCCACACACACACACAAATAAATAAAATTTAAAAGAAAATGACATTTAAAAAAAGAAAAAAAAAAAGAACTGAGCAAAGGGGCAGGCCTCCTTGCAGGCGTTTTAATCAACTGAACTATTTGGCTGGCCCTAGCAGGGTTAGCTTTTTAAAACTTTTTCATGGGGCTAAAATCAAACTGAAGCTCTTGTACATGCTAGGCAACCATTCTAGCTCCAGCCCCAGGACCAGCTAATCTGAATTGAGCCAGTGGGTATAATTAAAGGGGGGGGGGTAGGCGTACAGTAACTCAGTGGTAGAGCATTTGTCTAGCATGTGTAGGGCCCTGAGTTCAATCTGTAGCATCATCAGAAGAACTAAAAATAAGAAAATATATATGGAGCCTGGAGCTATGGGAACGCTGTGCTGATTGTAGGCGCACAGAGTGCATCTTTAGTCTTTGTCACTCATAATTCTCTTCCCTATCCACCTTGTTTCTTGGTTTGGTATAGATTTTTTCAGATAAATAGCACAGTGAATGCTTCCATTTTCTTTTGCTATTTATTTTTTTTTCCTTGCAACACCATCTGTCTATGTAGCCCAACTTCACAACTGCTAGCATTGTGGGGGTCTGTCTGCCTCTCTCCCTCTCCCTCCCCTCCCTCCTTCTCTCCTCCTTTTTTTTTTTTTTTTTTTTTTGGTGGAACCTGGGATTGAACTCAGATTCTTGCGTTTGCCAGTCAAGGGCTTATCCTACTGAGCCATCTCCCCGGCCCCCCATCTTCTCCCTTTTGAGACAGGGTCTCACTAAACACTTCAGGCTGGCCTTGAGCTTACTTTCTAGTCTGTACTTGCAATGATCCTGTCTCAGGGTCCCAAATGCTGGGATTACAGGCGTGGCTACCCTTCCATTTCTAGCCTCTTCTTTTTTAATGGTTATCACAGCCAGGTGGGGTGGTGGAGGCCTGTAATTCTGTTGCACAAGGAAGACACTTGATCACTGCAAGATAGGGTTTCTTTGCATATAAAGGACATTGCCTTGACCTTTTGGCTAATTAAGCCTGGGAATGCCTATATAGTGGACTTTGGTATTTAAACTTGGTAGATCCCTGAGAAAGAGGGAGTGGCTAGGCCTGCAGCCCAGAGTCTGGGAAGTTTAAGCACAATTCCTGGCCTTCAGGCAATTTACAGACATATTAAATGGGCTAGGAATAGCTCAGTGGCACAAGCATCTACCTAGCAAGCACAAGGTCCTGAGTTTAATTCCCAGTACAAAAAAAATGAAAGAAAGAACCAACCCAAGGAGTCTAGCCAAGTCCCCTCTCCTTTTACAGTACTGGAGACTGAACATCAGTACTGATAGGTGTTTTTCAGATGAACGGTACAGCAGAGAGAAACAGGCAGAAGGAAAAAGGGAAAGGGGCTGTATTTTCTTTGAGGACGTGGAGAGAATTTGGGGAGGTCAAGGAATTCTCTGAACTGGACAAAGGAAGGCTGAGGCTTTTATGACCTTTTGCCAGGGGAGGGGTTTGAAGGGCATGTTTAGATATATCTAAGGGAGCTGATTGGGAGTCTTTCCTGAGGAGGAGGGAAGGGTGAAAGTAAATTATATCCTGGGCTAAGTTGGAGAAGAAGGGGGAGGTGGTCCTGGGAGCATAGGCCTTTGTTTTAAGGGCATCAGCCATATTAGATGACCACCCCAGGGCTGGGGAGATGGCTCAGTGGAATAAGCGGTTGCCTGGCAAGCACAGGGGCCTGAGTTCAATCCCTGGTTCCGCAATAAATAAATAAATAAATAAATAAATAAATAAATAAATAAAAAATTGTGTAGATGACCACCACAATGATTTTAGCAATTCACACTAGGGCCCGAACCTATCGAGCATTTCACACTGAGGTATATTCCCAGACCTTTTTTTAAATTTTAAGACAGGGTCTTCCTAACTTATCTGGGCTGACCTTTAATTTGTGATCCTTCTGCTTAGCTTTGAAGAATGCTGTGGTTATAGGCATGCAGCTCAACTTCTGGCCTAAAATGCCTGTTTGATGCTCCAGGCACTGAGTTCAATTCCCCAGCACCAGTCTGTCAGTCAATCAAATGTTTATTTTGGTAGAAGCATTTTCTTCTGAAGCCCCATCTTTTAAAATTATTGTGTTGAGTAGATTGAGGCGTTTCCTGTTGCATTGCTGTAGAAGTGTCTGCACACTTGCTCTCAGTTCCTGCACTTCCCTTCATTGCAGAGCAGAAAAGACCAGTCCCTCCTTCTTGGCCGCAGCAGTGCCCACCTAACAGACGCTGCAATGAAGGCGTTGGTGCTGCTCCTTGGGTGCTTTTATTTGCTTTTCTATTTTGTATGTTGTTTTCTGTTGTGAAAAAATAATTCCATTAATGATGTAAGACAGTTATATGATTGGAAGGATGGACCTTGATTCATCTGAAGAGGATTTTATGAAGATTAACTACAGTAGTAGAACTGTGGGCAATTTTGTGTTCTTCACAATAATCATTAACTGCTTGATCCAGCCAGACAATGGGGAATTGAGTTAGATGTTGGGTGTTTATGCAGTGAGGCCATGTCTAGCCGGCAGAGATGAAACGAGCCAATTTGAAATGAGTGGTTCGGGCTGAATTCACTGTTTATATTCTTATCTTGGATTTCTAAAAAAATGCATTATTTTGCTTTTTTATTTTGTATTTAGAATTGAGCTAAATTTTCCCGAGTTATTTAAGGGAAATTTAATGTAGGACTTTGTATACTGAACAATGATGTTTTAATACTGTTTCCCTGCTTCCCTCCTCCTCTCCTTCCCTTCCTGTATTTTTTGTAGTGTTGGGGATTGCACCGAGGCTTTCCCACTGAGCTATAGCCTTGTTTTTTTAATTTTGGGACGGGGTCTCCTACTTGCTGAGTTCCCCAGGATGGATTGTACTACACATCCGTCTGCCTAAGCTGTCCAGAGTGCTGGGATTGCAGGCAAGGGTCACCATGCCTTCTTTTTCTCT